TTTGCAGCTGGAAAGTGAAATAACCTACGACAAACTCAACAAGTGGATCAGCGAAGACACCATGGCCGGAGACGACGTGGAGGTGTACCTTCCCCAGTTCAAATTAGAAGAGCATTATGAACTCAAACGCATTCTGAAGAGCATGGGCATGGCTGATGCCTTCAGCAAGGGCCAAGCCAATTTCTTAGGGATGTCAGAAAAGAATGACCTGTTTCTGTCCGAAGTGTTCCATCAAGCCACTGTGGATGTTAACGAGGAGGGCACTGAAGCAGCTGCTGGCACCGGGGCCATTATGTCCGGGAGAACTGGCCACGGAGGCCCACAGTTTGTGGCAGACCATCCTTTCCTCTTCTTTATCATGCACAAGATAACCAAGAACATCCTCTTTTTCGGCAGATTTGCATCTCCTTAAGTTCAGAGGTTCTGTTTCTGCACAGGACTTTGTAATATGAGGTTAAACCTCAAAATTGCTACAACTGCCAAAACTTTAGAGATCTTTTCTACATATTTCTGTTTTTATGAGCAATTTTTCTTACACACTGAGTATAAATACAGACATAGCTTGACAATTGTCAAATTATAACATTACCACTCTATTAATTACTTTGTCTCCTAAAATGGGAGGATGTTCCATTTAGGTCTTCCTTACTCTTGACTTATTTTATAGCATTAACTTTTTGGGCATTATTTATTATTTTATATAACGGTTTTTTGTTATTGTTCACTGTCTAGTGTAGCTGGTACAGTTACAGAAGCAGGTCATCACTTATTTTTCTTTCTAAGGAAATGGACTTATTTGTTCTTATAATGAAGGATGACTAGGTGTCTTTCCATGCCCTTCTAGAATAAGAACCTAGAAGAGAGCACTGAACAACAGGCACATGTATGCTGTGTGCATTTTTAGCATTAGGTATCACACAGATGTGTCTGTAACTTACACAAGATTGCAAATATATGAAAAATAAATGTATTTTCACACAACCATTTGTCTGTTGCCATTCCATTAGGTCTTTCGATCGTAAGACCTGTTTATCCTGATTCTCAGGAATCAGGCATCACGGCTCATTTGTGGGAAACATGAAGAAAACAGATAGAATAAAGGAGCCAGGGGAATAAACAATCCTCTTGCAAGGAGCCCCAGTGTTGGGGGTGGGGTGGAGTTGTGTGAAAAATGGATCAGAGCCACCTTCTCACAGCAGCAGAAGCTACAGCAATTCACAAGAACAGTCTGGGTCAGAGTCCTTTGCGGACGTCCGTGTTTAAACCTCAAGGACATCAAGAATACACATCAAGTCTAGTGGTCCAGACAGAATCAAGGTCATAATCATTGATCAAGTTGAGAGTTCAGAGTAGGTAGAGATGGACTGGGTGCAAGAGCAGAAGGGAAACATAAGATGGCTTCAAGTGTGTTTGCTTCAAATAGCACTGAATGCTTTTGAGTGGCTTAGAGGCAGAGAGCAACATAATTTAAGCTGAGAGAACTAAGGGAGATCTCAGGTTCGGGGAGCGTGAGCTGGCTGCAGATTCTGGCTGGATCCTGCAAATGTATTCCAGGCATCATCCTCTCTGTGACAGAAGGCAGGGATGATGACCCTCCGGAGTATGGTGGCTAAAGAGGTAGCCTTGTCTCTCTGCATCCAAACCCCAGTTCTAACAGTTATGAGTCATCTAACCACCAGCCAGGACTGGTGCTTCTTCATGCTTCAGTCTTCTTTCAGTGTAAACTAGAGAAAACTTAATGCTTTTCTCATAAAGTTGCTGTGATGGTGAAATGAATTCATACATAACAAGCAGTGAAAAGAAGGCTCAGCATACATAGTACTTCGATGCTAGTGATTATGATTACTATCTCTGCCAGCAATAAAACTGCCTCACTGTCAGCTGGTCGAACAGAGAATCCTAGAAAATTTTTCAGTTAATTTTTTTAAGGCTTGAATTGTGGTGTATTTCCTTCAAATCAGACGTTCTTGACAATTAAGGGTTCTTCCTTGCAGTTTCCTACTTAAAATTAGATTCATTTTTAAAATGTACTTTAATAATTCATTCAGCAAGGCAGTAAGTAGTAACTTTCTGAACTGCTGTGAGTCCTAAGATAGTCATACTTTGCCGTCATTACTGAATTAGAGCACAGGTGTACAATTCTAGGTTCAAAGCATCCCTCAGAGCTTTTTAAGGGTACAATTTTATTATTCTGGTACCAAAGTGGCAGATGAGAAAGTCGATATCCAGGTAATTCTTGCTTCTTGTAGTTTTAATAATTTTATTTTTGTTCTTGATGGTGTTCTTGATACTTCACTGTATTAAGAGCATTTTAAAACTGTTATAAAATTTTATCTTGCTCATCAGTAGATGCCTGTCACCTGGAAACTTGTATCTTGCTTCAGTTCCGGACACTCTCAGCCATTGCTATGGCCTGAATGTCTGGGTCCCGCCGACGTCTGTGTTGAAATCTCAATCCCCAATGTCATGCTATTTGCAGGTGAGGCGTTTGGGAGGTAATTAGGGTTAGAACTGGTCATGAGGGTGAGTCCCCATGATGTAATTGGTGTCCTTATAAGGAAGTGAAGGGACCAGAGCTCTCAACCAAGTAAGGACACAAAAAGTAGGCAGCGTATGTGAACCAAGAAGAGAGCCTTTGCCAAGAACCCAGCCAGCCACGCTGGTGCCCTGACCTCAGACTTTCAGCCCCCAAAACTGCGAGAAAGAAACAATGTTTGCTGTTTAAACCACCCCGTCAGTGGTGTCCCGCAGCCCAAACTGAATAGACAACCATTATTACTCAGTTGTCTCTGCCCCATGGTATTTACTCTCTTCTTCTGGGTCCCTATTAGATCATATTGATGTACCTGGAGTTCTTTCTGTTTTGGAAGTTTTTTTGAATACCTAATAAATTCATGCAGTCTGAACATCAAACATCATAAAAGACTAGAGCAGACACTCTCCCCACAACCCCTGTTCCCCATTCGTATGGTTCCGGTTCCTCCGTCCCCATTAGGAACGTCTGTACATATTGCTAAACAGACAGATGGCAGGCCACAACTAATGACAGCAACACACAGAATTGTGCTAATACTATTCTATTATTAACTTAGGATACAACTACCTCTGTCTCTTTTTCTGCTCCCTTCAAACAGGCAACAAAATAATGCAGAACCAAAAGTTTACCAACATAGGTAATATATCTGTGTATAAAGGTTTTATTTTATTTTTTTTACTGAAGCAGAGTTGATTTACAATGTTGTGTTAGTTTCTGGTGTACAGCATAGTGATTCAGTTATACATATATATATATATATATATATATATATACACATACACACTCTTTTTCATATGCTTTCTCATTGTAGGTTAAAGATTTTAATCAAGAGATAAGTAGGAATGGAATCAGAAGGTTTGTGAGACAAATGAGTAAAACTTAGTCTGTGCTTTTAGAGGGGATGAAACAATTTCTTGGCTAGTTCCCCAGAGTCTACATCGAAGCATCTGATGTAACACAAATAGCCAGAGCCGTGCGGTGACACAGCCCAAGTCACTGTCTGGTGAGCCACTGTCAGTCAGGATGGCAGTCCCTCCTTCTGGAGCCTGCATGCGACACTTTCAGCTAATAACAATCTGGACGCCTCCGTGGACAACCACCTCTGCCCAGCACACGTCAGGCAGGCTCCACGGAAGGTCCAGACACAAGGAGCACTGCCCAGCGAGCTCCGGAGCAACCCTCTGCTCTGGGTTCCACATCAGCATGCGAATACTACACTCCGAGCCAGTCTACCAGAATTGTGCGCCCCACTCAGAGGGCGCAGGGCGCAACCATGAAAAGAATGACACAGCGAGTTAGCCCTGAGTTAGCGGAAGATTCAGCTCCCAGCAGACCTGGAGCTTCAATATCCGCTAAGATACGATAGCTGCTAACTGGCCCTCCCACAGGTGCCGGGACAGTTGCCAGGCTGCCCAGAAAAGGTCCAACAGTGGGTGACGGCCGAGTCCTGGGATGCCCACCCCTTCCCCAAAGCAGCTGGAATAACCCTCCCACCTGTTAGCATATGAAGTTACCAAGCCCATAAAAACGAACCACCCCAGCTCTCTCTCACCCCCACCCCGCCTTTTCTCTTGCCCGCCTGCACTCTGTCTCTGGAGTGTGTCAATCTGCTTTTGCTTTACCCACTCCCAGGCCTCGTGGACTCCCTGGCCTCTGAGACGGCCTGTGCTCTGTCTATGGAGTACGTATCCCCCGGAATAAACCTGCCTTCACTGTACTGCGCCTCACTCTTGAATTCTTTCCTGTGCGAAGCCAATGACCTTCACTTGGCGGGGCACGTCCCAGGGACTCGACTGAGACCTGGGGCACAGCCATCCTCTTGTGCCCCATTTTCCCCATGTCATGAAGAGGAAAATAGAAACCGTGTGAAGAAAAAACACACAGATGCGTTACAACAATCTCCTCTCCCTCTGTCCCCTCTGGACTGTCCTCCATTCCCATCTCTTCTCCGCTCCCATCTTCATTCCTCCATGCACCTGCATCCCGTGACAGATGACGAAACTATTACCTGTTGTTTCCCCTGACGAAAAATGAGGAGGAACATTCACTGGGAGAAGTAAAAGAGAACCAGAAAGTGACGAACCAACATTCGACCCAGGAACTGTGTCCAAACCACGGACGTGGACCCCATGTCCCTGAGGCGGGGACAATGGACGTGGAACTAGTTCGAGTTATGCTTGGGGTTCCACGCCAACATCCAAGTGAGAAGAGCAGAAGCGTCTGTTGGATGCTTCACTTGGTACCTCACGAGAAAGTTTAACATTTTAACAGTAAACAGCTCACCAATAATCTCCATTTCATTGCCCATTATTATTCCATTAATTTGAAGCTTTCTATTTTTGTTGGAAAAAAAAGTCTGGCTGAGGAAAACCACTAACTGCTGCCAGCTGGCAGATGAGAGAAGACATTAAGCCAGGAAAGTGGGAGCTACGATTTGTCAGAATTCAGGTTTCTACCTGCAGACAGACATGGAAAATGCGGGTAATTAAGTCATTCAAGCAAAACCTTGACTAACTTTCTGTCTTTTCATTTAAGCCTCTGGCCAAGATAAACTTGAAAGGAAGAGTGTATGGGCTTGTGCAAGTGAATCAGAGGGTGGGGCTGAGAAAAGGGAGGTGCTAGAATTTAAAAAAAAATAATTTCTACGGTTAAAAGTTACTCAGCCCAGCCACAGTCTCTTACTAAAGGAACCCACCGCCAGCTCTGCTCCAGTGGACGAAAACAAGGTATTGTAAGTATTTATTTGCTTAAAAATGTTTATTTACATTTTCTTTCTTTGTTGCAGTGCCTAGCTAAACAGCAAATGACCAAGACCCCTAGACAGAAATAACAGACACAGACCATCCCCCAAGAGCTCTGTGCAAGTCTGAGCGATTTAGCCCTGAGCCAGTTCGTCCTGGAAAGAAGACTAAGCAGGAGAGAACATTCCTTTACAAAGATGTTAGAGAAATTGTTCTACTGTCAATTGTGAAACTATGATTGGAGTCACATTTCTGGATTATGCCACCTCTGTATCTGTCAGCATAGGCAAAGAGTAATTGGACACTCTTAGAATTACTGAGCCAACACCCTTCGGAAGAGTGCACTTGGCAATGTGAATTTCACTCTATTATTATCATTACTATTATCTTTAATGTAGGAAATTGATGATTTGACTGTCTCCCCTTCACCTCCCCCACCTTCCAGTCTGGGCCCCCACTGCATGGGCCATTAGCTTTCTTCTATTCCATGGAATAATCTAAGCCCCTAACCTTACACTAGATGCTCATCATAAAGCACCCCGAACTGTGAATTCCCTCTGAAAGGGCTTTAGGGGAACAGAGAAGTGCTGGGGTTGGGGGACGTCATCCTCTGACACGCACAGCTCCACGAACTAGGCAGTGTCATCAGTATCACCCGGCAGTCGGGGCGCCTTGAGTATCCTGTAATGGCAAAGTGGATGAGAATCCTTCCCACTTCCTCCTCCCTCTCTCCTTCCTCCTCCTGTTCATCCTCTTTCATTGCCCAATCCTGCCCTTCTACCACTAAAACCTTAAAGACAATAAGCTATAATGACAAAGGCATTTGTGTTCAGAGTCCAGAGAATGGGACTGCAGTGATAACTCTGCTGTGACTTCGCTGTGCATGTTACTCAGCACTTTTGTCCTCTCTGGGCCTTTGTTTCCCAGCAGATAAAATGAGGCAACCCCATTAGAGGCATTCCAAGGTTCTTTCTGACTCTGATATGCTGGGAGTATGTGTATCTAGGATAAGACATTCTGATGAATGAAGCTATTCTTACTTTCATGTTTCTCTAGCTAAGCCACCGTACAGATTGAGATTTTAGATACTTCACACACACACACACACACACACACACACATATGTAACTGATAGATCTATGTAACTCCTGAAAACTGCAAAAAAAAATTCATTCTGAAAATGGCACACTAGGCTTCTGATCTAGACATTTATTGCCTTCTCTGAAAAGATCACTGTTCAATCCCCGTAATGGATACACTATTTCATGTAAAATCTCATCCTCAAATCTGTAGCCTTCAGAAAGCACTTTTCACTGCTGGGTGAAATTTTTTCAACAGCCAGCTTAGCACTTATAAATTTCTTTCTTTTTCTTTTTTTTAAGGCAGGAATTGTTTTCCTTGTATGCTCTGGGCTATACCTGGTATATTAATGATGATATTAATGAGAGAATTATTGACGCTGAAGAGAACTGGGTATTAATTTTCTGTAAGGAGTGATCTCTTTCATTAGAATTATTCTAGAGGAATTTGTTGCAAGTAACTAAACTCCAGAATAACCATAAATCGTAGGTAGAAAGGTAAAAACCCTTAGCCCTGAAGCAGTAGTTTCTCCTTCCCTGGTGAGTATGGTTTGACCACGGAGGCAAGCCTTTTCCATATGAATATAATTCATGAGTTCTAAAGAGACAGAGCTTAATATATAGACAGCAAACGAAGCATCATTTGAGTAAGTATAGCTGTAAAGAATACAGGGAGGTTATTTCCAAGACGGCACTGGGTTTGTCAAGAAAAGGTATTTGCACGCGTTTTGAATATTTTATGAAGGTGTAGAATTACTACAGAACTAGAGTTGTTGCTTTTTTCTTTAATCAAACAATGTGAGCCTAGCCTAGGGTGGTCGTCAGCTACTGGAGTAGCTGGGAGCTACGATTAGGCATGGTTTCGAGGCTGGGAAGCTGTCTGGTTAAGCGTAAGCCTATGACTAAGAGGGATTTCAACAGTATCACTGCTAATCCAAGTCACGATGAAACCAAAACTTTGTCTACAGACGCCTCTGCCTTGATCCAACCATTTGACTAGAGAGAGCTCCTGACTTTTCTAAAGTTCTCATCCTAGGGTTTTCAGAGGGCCAGGTGATGTCAGTGCAAGACCAAGTTCTACACAAGTCTGGCAGTAACGGGAGTTTCTCGGCCTACGAATTTGGTCTCTTTTTAATCATTTAAACATTTAGAGAAATTATTTGGGTATAAAATGATAATAGATTGAACTTGCTATTATTTCTTTGATAGAGACTCAATCTTAAAGGACTTAAATTAAAATATCAGGGTAATTAGAGGTGAAATTTAGAAGTTGACTACAATGTTTTAAAAAATGAGAAAGCCTGAGTTCCTCTGTTCACGAAGACTGGCTTCAGACGGCCTCAAGTGAGTGAGAATAAAGGCAAGAGAGTCTTGGCTTCTCTACTTCTCTGAAAGCATTTACACTAAATTGTGAAAGGTTTCAAGTTCAAATAGATTAAAACACAGTGGCTAGAGCCCAAAGAATTAAAAGAAATAAATAAGTATCTGTAAGTCTCCATTTTACGCAAGGTCCCGATCTAGGCGCTGCTGGATGCACTGGGCAGAGTGAGAAAATTGAGCCCTCAGAGAACTTACCTGGAGTTGGAAATGTTAGGTGCATAAGCGGGGGCACCAGGCAGATAAGGTGGAGGAGAGGGAGGACGGTCCTGAGGATGGCGTTGTCCCGCCTTCAGCATAAAGGGGCTTGACTTCCTCTAAATGAGTGTCAGCAAGAAACCGGTTGGAACCTGACAGCCACGACTGCGCGGCAGCGACAACCTAACCGGACAGGACGCAGCGCGCACTGCGACGGGCTCAGCACTGCGGTCCGGGCCCCCACGCTGCGTTTGTCTCGGTGCATCATGGGTAAGGACATGCGCAGAAGGGGCCCAGCGTGACTAAGCACTCCAGGGGCAAGAGTTGTCAATCAAGAGACCACCTCTAAGCGAGGGTGCAAAACGGGACCAAGCGAAGACCGCTGCGCGTCCTCCCCTGGGCCAGCCCGCCTCCGCTCTTGGAGGGGTACTTTCCCTTTCCTAAATAAATCCTTTAAAATCTTTCACTAGACAACGCTCCAACTCCTGTCTGATTTCTTTCGGGTGTGATAAGAACTGGGGTCTTTTCCCTGCCCCTTTTGGGGTAACAGAAAGATAGCAAGATGGCAACAGAACTAGCAGTGTGGAGAACGCCAAGCAAGTCGCAAAAGCTGTATTGCGGGACTTCGGTGGTGGACATACTGCACCTGAAAGGCCAGGACAAGCCTCCAAAGGAAAAGAGAAGCGGAAATGGAGCTGGATTTCAATAGAATCACGGAGGATCGAGGTATTCCAGGAACCAGGATATCACGTACCAAGGTGTGAAGGAATAAACAAGGTTAAAAAGTGTGAAAATATGGGTGAAAGATGAGTGAGAAAAAGTCTTATGTTGAAAAGATGTATAATTATTTCTCACTTACTATGTAAAGTCAGCAGGGATGTGGTGTATGGAAAAGAAACACTGGGCTGAGAGAGGAGACCTGGTTCCACTGCCTTTTTAAAATCATGGCTTTCTGAACAAGGAGCCACTAACTCAAAAGAATCCAACCGTTCCTCATGTGCATTAGCTTTAGAATTTGAGGCAATTCTCTTAAACTCTCTGCACTCAGTTTTCTGGTATTTAAAATAATGTTGGAATGAAATTTTCCTAAAGTTCATCCAGCTCTTATGACTCTGTGTGTGTGTGTATATATATATAATCAAATTGCATAATATATTCTTCTGTTATTTTAATGAAAGGTGATTTACAAAAAGATAATTGTGGAAGCTAACAAATCCTTTTACAAAAGTAAAAATAAATGGGAGGGATTATTAACATGTCCTGTAACTCTGCTTTATTTTTCTTAGATTTTCCCAATGGACTCACTAGAAAAATCAATCAACCAATTTGCTCTGGAGTTTAGCAAAAAGCTAGCTGAATCTGCTGAGGGTAAAAATATCTTCTTTTCTCCCTGGGGCATCTCAACCTCCTTGGCCATGGTGTATTTGGGCACCAGAGGTACCACTGCGGCTCAGATGGCCCAGGTGAGTAGAAAGGTCCATCATCCTTCTGTTGCCTTAAAACGAAACACTCTTCTCGCCTTTTATCTTCATTTCTCTCCTGAAACCCAAATAGCCCACGTTTTACAACTACATCCTCCAAAATAAAAGGCATACTTAAAATAATTTCTAGACCATAAAAAGAAGTCTGAGAAAGTGAGTCAACTTGAAAACTGTTTCTAGGAAAACCATTGAAGAACCTGTGTTCTCTAGCAAAATCAAATGGAGAGATGATGAGGTTATTAAGTCTGACTCAACACCAAAAACAATTTTATTTCGATTATTAAAATATTTCAAGAAAGTAATGGCTCATATTTTAAATAACAGAGTTAGTCATCATCGTTCTACTCTCAGAAGAATTTTCTTGAAGACACAAATAGAAAAATCAGGTGAATTCTGTTCCTTCTGCTTTTTGTTGGTTATTTTTTTTTTTTGGTTCAATCCTTGTTTGGATGAATTTAAAGAACCCATTAAGAGCATTAATAGAGCAAAACAAAATTAATATAGTGTGTATATGTGTATGCGTGTGTAGCCTTAGATAGCAAAACATAGTAGCCTATATGTGTATATACATTTGTGCGTGTGTAAACATGTAAGTATGTGTGTGTTAAACAAAAATAAAAAAAGGAAAGAGTCAATGCCGTTCTAAATCACACAATAATCAAAAGGCCAAATGACAGAATTTCCAACCAAGAGGGTGCCCTCTGTTCCAAGTATGGACATGAACACAGCTAGGAATTCGGAATGAGGCAGCCAGAATACATGATCTGTCAGTTTGGGCCTAGAATATCCCCCTTATTCTTGTAATTTATAAGATACTGAGTGGTTTAAAAACAGCAAAAACAAAATTCTGGTTCACAGAAAAATTCTGGTTCACAGCTAGTTAAAAATTGGCTGATTATTATGAGGCTAATTATTAAATTGGCTAATTATTAAGGCTATCGCCATGCAGGTGACAGACTGAATCTTAGATGGATTCCAATGTGGGTCCACTATGTATAAACATATTGCTGGGTGTTGCTCGCCCTTGTTTTATTTCAGTGTTTCTTAACAGCTTCAGTTTGCAACTGAGACTCAGTTGCCTATGCTCCCCTTTTTTTCCCTGGGCAAGTGGTTACCGTCTGTCACCATGTGTCAGCAGAAGCTTTGGTAAAGCACACTTCATTCCTTATTCTGAGTCTGGGTCCGGGATGCATGTGGAAGACGGAATTACCGTTGTGCTGACCTTTCTCGTTGTACAATTCAGAGGAAACTAACGTCCACATCCTTCCTGTTAACTTTCACATGAATTGCTGGGACGAAGACAAGGACTCTGTCTCCATATATCACGTAGTGGTAGGCAGTGAGAACTGAACACTTAAGTAGGAAAAACAACTGAAATTTCTGATTTTTCCCGATAATTGGGGCAATGGTGGCTTTTGCTTGAAGTGTCTAACTGATGCTCTCAGTCGAACACCTAGCTTTCTTTTCAAAACAACTACAGATAAAAATGAAACAGAAAACAGGAGACTCTTACCTCTAAGGTTATTCCCAACAACATCTTCAACATCCCATAAAAAGTATTAAAGAGACTGGCAACTTACGTTCGACTTAAACATTTATTTAAAAGCAGCTCTTGGCTTACTCTATTAGTTTATGTAACACACCATCTCAGCCAAATCAGAGCCCCCTTGGCTCATTAATCATAGGTTTTGTAGCTATAGGGATGGCTGGCTTGTAGTTACTGATTTGTATTTCATACGATTACATCACTGCAAAGTGTGCTCACATATTCCCTTTTTACTGAAATTACAGGTTCTACAATTTAGCAGAGACCAGGACAGCAAATCTTGTCCTGACAGTGAAAAGAAAAGGAAAATGGTATGTTTTATTTTTTAATATCTGTTTGATAAACAAGGAGAAAGTACTTTTAGCACGTGTATTTTAGTGGCTAATTTTAGCAACCTTCAATAGGTAACGTTTCTTAGAAGCACATGCTAAAATTATGGAAAATTTCCAGAGTACAAAATGTCTAGATTAATTGGAAGGGTCATGGGCCATGTTCTTCCCCTTTAGTCTCTCCTTTTGCGTCTCCTTCAAAACTACTCCACTTTCAACCTCGCTCTTGCCTTTGCAAACTCAACGTGAAGATGATGCCCCAATGACTTTTGCATTCCTGCACGGATAATATTTAAGAAAAAAATTTTTATCTACCATACAATCGATTTCAACTTCTGTTTGTAGTACATCAAATTGTTTCTTTTACTATAAGTTGTTCTTAGATACGTAGTTCTTGTTCAACATTTTTATTTGACCTATTTATCTTTTAAAGGAATTACACTCAGGCAAGGTTGAAGAAATACACTCTGATTTCCAGACGCTTATCTCAGAACTCACCAGTCCCAGCAACGCCTATCTACTCAAAACTGCCAACAGGATCTACGGGGAGAGAACTTACCCGTTTCACAAAGTAAGTGCAAACATTGTAGGCTGATAGGAAAGAAAGAGCCGTGTGAGACCGATCAACAAACTCTACACTTCTCTAGGGATCCCAGGGACAATCTTAATGTATATGGTGTATGTGGTCAGTATTTCTGATAAACATTTAGACCAACTGATGTGTCAAATTGTAATGGAAACCAATAATGTATGTCAAACCAGATCTAGTGATCGGATCGTTCTGCCCAGAAGAGGGGGTCCACCCCAGGAACAACCCACGAACGTGCATAGAAATGTGGTTTAGATAATCCCTGGGCCAACATTTGTTTCATGGGAGATGGAGCAAAAGTTATAGAATAACCCAGCACTGTAAGTCTGAAGGGTCAGGGGGTGGTGTGGTCCCAGGAGCGTGGCTGGAGACGGCGGACTCAAGAGCAAAGCTGACTTTGGGATCAGATGAGTCACTTCACATCACGACTTAAGCAACTTTAGGAAAGATTCTTCCCGTGGCATAATACCAACTTTTCTTTTCTGGTGGCTGAGATCCCGCAGTGCAAACCATGCCTTCATCCTCAGTTCAGACCCAAGGGGCTGACCCCAAACCAGGCCAGACATTGATTTCTTTCACATTTGTCCATCACACCCTTTGGCACATTTCAGAAGAGAGCCGGACGACCCAGATGCCCAGTGAGGAGAGAGTAAGGAAACTGAATAGGGTAGAGGGACAACAATGGAAAAAGAAAGCCATCTGGTGACTTCATGCAGTGTCATCCTGGCCCATACCCAGCGAATTCTGGGGAGTTCAAGACCTGGGCTTTGTTATTACTAAAGGCAAAAAACCAGCCAAGTAAAGTCACAAAGACATTGTATATACTGGGAGGAGCCTCCTGGACTCAGGTTTGGTTCAGAAGTAGGAGAGATGATTGAGCTGGGTGGGCACTTGGTGAAACGACGTGCACAGAGATACAAAGTGGCCCGTCTTTTAAAATATCCACAACCCTGAACGTGCTCAGAGAGACTGATCAGAACCCACGAGTCAAGACAAGGAATGGTACCTTGAGAAGCTTTAAGTTTCCTTTTTACTAGATTATAAATTCTACAGAGCCGAGGCTTCATAATCTCCAAACCACTTTCTGACAGATGAATTAACTCACCATTTTTTACTGCACACAATTCCTCCATAAAGTCATAAACTGAAGGAATCCCACAGCTTCTCTGAGGAACAAATTATGTTCCAAGGCACGGTCCTCCCACGCAGTGACCTTGGTTACAGCCCCTCAGGATGACAGTGCCCGGGGACAACATCAGAGGGCCGGGAGGAGGCGGCCTGCTTCTTTTCCTTAGAATGCCCCCATGAAACCTTTCACCATTCTTAGAAATCAGTTTTCATGGTGCCACATATTTTCCCTCAGAAAGCCCTCCCCAGGTTCTTGGGTGTGTAGAGTCCGCAGCCAGCCGTTGCCGGACCCACAGGTCTCAATCTGGCTCCATCTCTGCCACAGAGAGCCAAGGACAAGTCCCAGGGCCCCTTAGCTGGGGACACTCAACTCCTGGGGTTCCTAGAATGCTCCCTTCTCCTGCAGCCCCAGTTCCCAGGGACAAGTGAAAACAGGCGAGGCCGTGGAAGCTCCAGGACTGTGGGAGGCAGGCCTCCCCTCTCCACCTGGAGCTCTGCATGGCTGGGCAGTGCTCAGGTGAGTTTACAGAGGCTGTGTTTAGTTTTTAACCAAAGCTGGAGGGAGTGAGAAGACTTCAGGGAACAATAGGTTTGCAACTGTCCATCTAGCTGGTTCTTTTTGATAGAATGAAAAAGACTTGATTTCTCAGTTTAGGGAACATTCTACAAAAAGAGATTTTACCTGTATCTTCCAGAAATATTTAGAAGACATGAAAACCTACTTTGGCGCAGAGCCACAGTCAGTGAACTTTATAGAGGCTCCTGACCAAATCAGGAAGGAGATCAACTCTTGGGTTGAAAGCCAGACGGAAGGTAAGCTCTCTCCATGGGGCTCCCCAGTGTGCTTCCTACCCCGTACCGTTTTATTATTTTGGATTTGTGTTATGTGTAAGTGTATGCCCAGCATGACCGTGGAGACCTGCCTGCCTCTCCACTTCAACACTTGTCATTCTCCGATTAATACTGACACTTCAGGAATTCCAAGTGGCACTGAGACCCTGGAACTCCCGGTGCTGCCTCCTGACCCCAGGACTTTGCGCATGTGTTCCCTCTGTCGGAAACACTTTTCCCTGCCCTGCCCTGCCCCACCCAGCCATTTCATTGCCACTGGATAACTCCTCAGGGCTTCACTCAGGCATAATGTCCTCCAGGGAGCTGCTGGCTCCCGGGCTGGGCTCAGAGCCTTCCTCTTGGCCCCACAGCACTCTGCGGGAACCTGTACCTTGACAGTTACCACACTGTCACTGAAATTCACTGTGGGAGCCCCTGTCCCCGCCCCACTAGACTCAAGGACCCCGATTGCAATAACACTACCTTATTAGTCCTTCAGCTTTGAATCCCTAGCGCAGAACAGTCCTGCTCATGGTAGTTGCTCAGAACGTTAATGTTTATTGAAATGAATTGTAGATGTTGGCGGCCCTAAGTTCTCAGTTCCTTTTTCACTGAATTAGTGACTCAGAAACCATGGTGAGGCAAGAGTGACCATCGTACTTAACTTATGCCTGATTTGGATTCATCCAAAAGTAAGTCTGGTTTGAGAATTACAGATTAGTCAGCATTTACTGAGTACCCTCATTGTTCCAGTTTGCAATCACCAAACCTGGGACCATTTGAGCAACAAAATAAATAATGACAGTAATGAGTTTTAACCTGTAAAGTGAAACAAATACCCATGAGTCTATTCTGACGTAAATCAATAACTGAATAGCCCAGTAAGTGGAGGGGAAGGAAAAGCTCTTCCTCACGGTAGAATTCAAATTAATAAATGTAGAGGGAATGATGGAAATGGAAAATCACCATTTGGCAAACACCACAGAAATCACTGTTTCAGGCAAGATTATCAATGGATGCTAAAATAAGCAGGCAAAAGACTGATGAGAAACAAGACTTTATATAGTCTCAAAGTATCTCCCCACCAGATACTTATTAATTATGAAGGGGAAAAAATAGTAATTTGACAGTGGAGAAACCTGGAGACATCAAGTCATCAAAGCTAATGTCACCAGGAATGGGACATATGGATATCCTCTACTTCCTGATACGATTAATTGAGAAGGACACCAAGTTACTTCTGTGTTTGCATTAGATTCCGAGGGCCGCCATAACAAAAGACCACAAACTGGGTGGTTTAAAACAACGGAAATACATCCTCTCATAGTTCTGGAGGCTGCATGTCTGAAACTGAGGTGTTCGCAGGGCCCTGCTCCCTCTGAAAGCGCCAGGGAGCTCCAGAGAAGGAACTGCTCCGCGCCTCTCTCCCAGCTGCTGGTGGTTGCTGGCCATCCTTGACTTCTAAACACACCTCTCCAGTCTCTGCCTGTGCTGACATGACTTTCTTCTTTGTCTCTCCTGTGCCTCTGTGTTTTCACATACCTGCCTCCTCTCTGTGTGTCTCTGTTCAAATTTCCCTCCTCTTATAAGGACACCCATCACTGAATTAGAGCCTACCCTAATCCAGCACGACTTCCTTTTGACTGATTTCATCTGCAAAGATGCTATTTTCAAATATGATCACAGGGCATTCACAGGTTCTGGGGGTCAGGGCTGAACATCTATTTCTGGAGGACACAATTCAACCCACAGCAGTAATATTGTCACAAAAATGCATAACCTCAGTGTAATCTTGAGGAAGCATCAGACAAATTTGAACCAAGAATGGAGGGACATTCTGCAAGTTTTTTTTCAAAAGTCATGAGAGAAAAAGAATGAATGAAGAGCTCTCTCAGAGTAAAGGGAACTAAGAGGAGATGATAACCAAATGCAGCTTGGGCTCTTGGATTGATTTCTGGTCCAGAAAAAGGGGTCTTTATTGCAACAACATACGAAGTTTAGGATCTTCGTATAGTATTCTATCAATACCAACTTCCTAGCTTGGATCATTGGCGGATACAAGAAGTTACCATTTAATAATATTTCATGATCACCATCTTTATAATGTGGTGCTTCACCAGGCTACAGTTGTGTCATTTGAAATCTGTCCTTTTGTTCTTATAGGAAAAATCCTGAATCTCCTACCTGATGATGCTGTGAATTCTGCAACCAGGATGGTTCTGGTGAATGCCCTTTACTTTAAAGGAATCTGGGAACATCAGTTTTTGATCCAAAATACCACCGAAAGGCCCTTCAGAATAAACAAGGTAGGAACCTGTTAATAACCAGTATGAATTTCTACCCGGCATTGTGAAGGGAATTCTATTTGAAATGCACTCCTCTTTCTGAGTACATGTTCCTGTAAACTCTGGCTCTCACTAGGGCAGGGGTGGCTGAATTAAAAGCCCCAGTTCCATCTCACCTGGAAATTCCCCTTTCATTTTTTTCCCTCTGAAAATAGACTACTCACATTTTACATTCCTCAGTCCTTGCTGCAGCCGTGGCAGGGCAGCTGGGGTCGTTACTGCATTTATTCCCCAGGTCAGAAGTGCAGTGTGGCGAGGTGACTAGCAGCACGCTGAAGCTAGAAGGCTCCCAGACCCAGAGCCCAAACTCCCCGCTTAACCAGCTCTGTTCTTGTTCTATTAACCTAGTACTATCTTCTGCCAAACTCTCACCTTTCCATAAGTAAAAGAAAGAGAAATGTTAAAATCTTACATCTTTCGTTAAGGTTTCTCTCTGTGCGGGGACATCACACACCTGTTTTCGTCCTAGGAACTCACTTCAGCAACAAGGGAGATGAACGAAGGGTGAGGGACGGGTCTAAGGGCTGGGATGCAGGTGGGCTTGGCCTTGCCTGGAAACGGGGATTCGAACGTTTTCGGGATTCACTGCCTATCTTTTCAGCTCTTTCTCCCATCGCTCTCCTTTCAGACTGAAGGCTAACTTTCTCCGCCCCCCAGTCCTCAGTGGCAGAACATGACCACCCACCCATTCCAGAGCCCGGTCTGCTCGGTCTCAGTCCAGATTCCGAGGGGAGGAACGGATGGGCCAACGTTTGCTAAAATGCTCCTTATTTCCTACAGACTACAAGCAAACCAGTGCAAATGATGTCGATGAAAGAAAAACTTCAAATTTTTCACATAGAAAAGCCACAAGCCACGGGCCTTCAGCTCTACTATGAGAGCCGGGACCTCAGCCTGCTCATACTGCTGCCGGAAGACATCAGCGGGCTGGACCAGGTAAACACATTGGTCTGTCTGACGTGAGGACCGTTTGGGTGTTCACCCTTCCCGGGAAACATGAAGACATGAGCTCCCAGTTCTTTAATTTCGGCACAGGAAAGCATCCAACACACCTTGAGCCCCAGGCACTGTATTTCCACAGGATCATTTAAGAGTTGCAAAACTCTGTAATTCCTCAGAAGGGTTAAGCAATTGACAGATACTTTTAGCATCTGGTAACCACAAAAACAGCCACGTAAACAACAGACTGAGCTATTATTTGCTGTCAGTCACAAAGCCATGCGGATTGATCATAGGTGAGCTTTCAGTTAGTGTAGGCCTTCGCATTTCCTCTGGTAGGACCTACCTAATTGGACATTAATTTTTTATTCATTTGCATTAATCTAGCCCTCAGTATACATTTTCCACTCTTCAGGAAATACAGTCTGTATCAGTACACCTTCAAGTATTATTTAAGTTGTTCATTAGTCAAACTTCTCTTAAGCCTGGCATAACTTGGTGAGACCACATTTCTGAGCAATTCGCATGTCTAAATTGAACACTAGTTTCCCATGCCATTAGTGGTCTGTCTTTCTTTGCACAGTGTCTGATTTTTCACGGGTGCCAGGTTCTTTGTAAGTTTCCACTGTCCTATTAGTGAGTAGAAAGGATTTCCAAATGGGGTCATAAAATTTGTGAGGCTGGAGAGGATGGTAAAAATAAGACCAAGTGTGGGTACTAAACCATTAGAGTTACATCCTTATAAGACTTTCTTTTTAACAGTTCAGGCTCCTGACCCAAAGATACGGTCACATTATTAATGTACATCATTTACAAATATCTCATTGATAGCAATACTTGGATCTAGAAAACTGTCCAAGTAGCCAAATCCTGTACTTTGAAACAGACTTTTATTTAAAAAAAAATCAAACATTGTTTTTTTACATATACATATGCATATGTGTATATATATGTATATTTATTGTTCTAAAAAGTTAAAATATAAAAAGGAGAAAAAGCACCCTCAAAACCACTACTGAAAAAGTCATTACTCTTAAAAAGATTTGAGGATTTTTCTTTGCTTTGCTTTTCTTTCTGTTTTTTCATAGTTTACAGTCACTAATTTCATATTGTGATTATAGAGTGCAGACATGTTATTTTTTCTTAGATTTTGTTTTCAAAGATTATCTCCTATGTTAATAAAATTAATGTTTTTTTGTGCCCTGGCATACAGCGTGTCCTAAAGTAGATGTTTTTGCATACACAACATCTAAATGCATGTTCACAGTGATGTACACATTACCTCATCAATGTGCAGTTGATGTCTTGCATATTATCAGAGGATTTCCATTTTGAATCAAGGTCTAATTCTCCTATATCCTGAGAACTATTTATCTGCAAAACTACAGGGCAACAGTGTGAAACAGTCATCATAAACAAAGAATTTCCAAATGTGTGTACTTTGTTACCTTTGGCAATGGGAGTGGTTCTAACTCATCTGTGTAACACCTAAAAGTCTCACTCACCCAGTATTTCACACCCCACTTTGACATTTCTGATGCTTTCTCCCCTTGGCTCCAAACTGCAGCTGGAAAAGGCCATCACCTATGAGAAGCTGAGCGAGTGGACCAGCGCAGACATGATGGAGTTGTATGATGTGGAGCTGCATCTCCCCAAGTTTAAGCTGGAAGAGACTTACGATCTCAAGTCGACCCTGAGCAGCATGGGGATGAGCGATGCCTTCAGCCAGAGCAAAGCTGATTTCTCAGGAATGTCTATGGAGAGAAACCTATTTCTGTCCAATGTTTTCCACAAGTCTTTTGTGGAAATAAACGAACAAGGTACGGAGGCCGCAGCTGGTACCGGGAGTGAGGTGAGCTTTCGAACCAAACTCCCCTCCATGGAATTCAACGCAGACCACCCATTCCTTTTCTTCATCAGGCACAACAAAACTAATAGCATTCTATTCTATGGGAGATTCTGCTCCCCTTAAACCCTGCATCTCTCTCATCAAACGGGAGCATCCGACAGTGTGAAAAATACACACAGGATGGAAAAACCCAATTACAATGAAAACGAGTTTGTCGCCTGCCTCTTCTTTGCATATAAATATTAGCAAAAATATCTTGAAATAATGTATTCTAGTGATCCTATTGTCCTATATAGCCAGAGAGAATGGCAAATTTTATTTTTTTTTAACATTTTATCTTAGGGTGGTCTTTATTTACATTTCAGAAATTCAGTTATTCAATTGAATGTCTTACAATTCTTGAACTACCTGCTCACTGTATTTTCACTGTCGCTTATATTTCACATGCATCATTCAGTAAAGAAAAAAATTTATAAAGGTGAATATTGGTAAATAAGAATTTTCTCAAGAATACTATTACAATGCTTCATAAATGATCACTGTAAAATTAAACCCCCTTTTCCTGCTAACTATTTAAAAAATACTTATGTTGACATAAATGGAAAAACTGGTGAAATCCAAATGAAATCTGGAGTTTTAAAAAATTTACCATGGTACTGCTAGATGTTTGCACCAGGGGAAACTGTGTTAAAAGCGTATGGGAATGCCCTGTATTAACTTTGAAACTTTTCTGTGAATTTAAAATTACTCCCAAATCAAAATTTTATTCAAAATAATTATTATGTGTAAAAGTTGTCACACTAACATCCTTGGTTTTAGAAATCTTATGAACTAGAAGAGTAAATTTCTGATTTGTATAAATATGTACTGTTAGTTATAAGAAGATATTCTTAGTAATGCTGTATCTCCATAAAATTGGCTGTTTTTCTAATTTCTATTAAAAATGAGCATGCACAAGGCTTACTGGTAGTCTCAGATGTTATTCTAATTTTAGAGATGGATTGCATCATTCTAGGTTGCTTTTTCCATTTTCGTCTACTAAAGAGAAAGCTACCTCAAATGGATCTGACATGAATGGTATATATGAATGTGTTTTCTGTATCAAATCTTGGTTTGGTATCATAGAATTAAAAAAAAAAGTGATCCTATGCTTTAGTTCTAAAGATAGGAAACTGTAATACAGATGACATTCAATAATACCTTTATGAAACATTTTGCTTCATAACATCTGCCATTAAGAAACAATGAAAGAAATCCCTCATGTCTGTGTTCTACTAAATTAAAAGTCCTTAAATGCAAGGTATCATTGCAGGCTCAAAAGTAGGTAAGTGAACTGGGGGCATAAAAACCAAGTCAAGATAAAGAAAGACCAGCGTAACTCTGTATCAGAGGCTGACAATCAGATTATATTAAACACAACGTTTTTCAAACAAACGAAAGAGGAAAAAGGATGATACTAGAAACTTTAAATCAGTACGATTCATTCAGACATTCATTTAAAAATGTTTAATGAGCATCTATGCTGTATCAGTTGAAATTCAGGGCAGGGAGACTACATCTCTTAACAGAAACAGACCCTGGTCCCCTTGTCTCTTGGAGTCATGGAGCTTATAAACTCATGGGGGAAATGGACTCAAACTGGAAGTTAGTGCAAAGAATGATTTGTATTTGCCGATGATACAGTGTTTTCCTCTCACTGCAAATGCATATAGCCTGTCTTTTTAGAAGGATCACAGATCTTAGAACAGTAGATAACAATCATGGTCTGTTCACCTCCCTTGTTCTCAGGGAAAACGAAACTATTAAGAAACTTGACTGTGAGTGGAAAGATGAACAAGCAGGGTGACAATTACAGGATATGGAAGTAAGGCGGTTGGGGCGCTTTTTGCCTGTTTGTTCATATGGGGGAGATTAAGTATATTTATGAGATAAGAAGACCCAAAGAAGGAGAAGAGACTAAAGACACAGGAGAGGAGGCAATTCATGGAACCTTGTCCTAGAGAAGAAAGAGGTCTGCTTCTTTCCTTGAAAGAGATGGGGTAAGAGATATGGTAGGTTCAGAGAAAGGGACCACTGGCCACTCCTCCATAATTGGGGGTACAGAGGAAGGCACATGTGTTTCAGACAAGATCTTCCCTTCGCCACTATCTGCCAGAGATCAGGAGAACTCATCCCTGGATGTTCTTTGTCCTACTCATGTTCAGTTAAGGACGTGTCAGGGCTGAGGTTCCTGTAAGCTTTCCCAGAATAAGAACCCTCTGAAAAGTAGGGTTTCAGTATAAACCTGAGATGGCAAGGACACTCATCAGAATTGTTCTGTGATTTAGACCTGAGAGTCTGCATCTCTCTCTGATTCCCCATTCCCCTTCCCAGTTCCCCTCTAGGAGCAGAACAGCACAGACTTCTGAGTGAGGGACACTTACTTGGGTTTGAACTTCAGCTTGGTTCGCTGAACCTCTGCACAGGCACTGAACCCACTGTTTCCTAAAAGTGGGTTTTGAGAGTTGCATTCGTAGGTTTGAGAGTTGCATCCTCACATGTCTGCTTTCGGAAACATATTTCGAGGGATGTGTGCTACCAGATGGTTATCACTGTGATTAAAAACAGCAACCTAGAACATTAAAAAGGAGACCTTTTATAATATTTTGTAAAAAGCGGTGTAGCAACCATTAATATCTTTGGAAAAACACCGAGGCTTATTATTTCATACCAAATTACTTTAAAAAAGAAGTTAATTACTTTCATGTTTTTGGGGGGATGCAGGTAATTAGGTTTATTTACTTATTTATTCTTAGAGGAGGTACTAGGGATTGAACCCAGAACCTCATACATGCTAAGCATGCACTCTACTTGAGCTACACCCTCCCCCCAACTTTCATATTTTTTTAAAAGGCTAGTGTTCCAAATGTGCTGACCTTTTCTGTGTTAAGTGGCTATTAGTAGTAAACTTCTAGCAAGTAAAAAACAAAAACAAAAACAAAAACAAAAACACCACAGTTGATTGCCTTTAGGTATATCTGATCTATAAATGGGAAATCACCTTCTTTTGAAAGAGTGTACAGTGATCATTTTGAGAACATCTATTCGGGCGGGGTCTTACCCAAACTCCCTCAGGGGACCTACACTAGCCTTCCCCGCCAAGCCATCTGCTCTCAGGCCGGGGCAGGAGGATGCGCACGAGGCTCCGCCTCTGCCCAGGGCCCAGCCTGGGGATGCGGAGTCAGAGATTGCACAGACCCGAGCAAAGATCCGTGCAATCTCGGGGTGCTGAGTCACCGCCGGAAGCCTTGCCCGAATTCAAAGCGGACGTGAAGCATCCACCAAGCAGGACTAGCAGTAGCAGCAGCAGCAGCAGCAGCAGCAGCCGCGGCAGGAATCTCCCAGGTACCAGGGCTGGGAGGGCGCCCGAGCCCTTAGGTTCCCGCGGCGGCCGGCTCTAGCCCAGAGCTCGGGCGCAGCGCGGGAGGGAGCGGGGCACTCTAGCCCAGAGCTCGGGCGCAGCGCGGGAGGGAGCGGGGCAAGAGGCGGGCGCAGAGCGAGGAAAAGGAGGAGGGGACGAGGGGACCCGGGCGGGAGAGCTGCGGGGCCGGGGTCGCCCTGGCCCCTGCCGCACCCTGGATCCCCGGCCCGCTGTGTCTCGGGCTCTAAGGCGAGCCTCCGAGGCCGGGAATGGGAGCCCCGAGCGCGGCAGCGCGGAGCGCGGCCCGCCCGGGTCAGAGGCGGGTCCC